CACTTTACGATCTTTCATTATAATTTTTGTCACTTCACTCACATTTTCCGGTGTAACGGCTTCCACAGGTCTACCCGAGCGTTCCGCGTCATTTGTGTCGGTACGACCACGTTTAAACTCGGCAAACCACCGACAAATCATTGCTTTTGATGGACAAGAGTCCGGGTAACATTTTTCAATCCATTGTTTCGCTTGCACGGTGTTTTTACCCATTAAAAAACAATGTTTTATCAGAACACGAAACTCGTTTTTTTCCATTTTTTAAACAAACTACAAAACGACTTTACTCCAACCTCGATAACTCAGCTGTTTCTGGTCCGATCGACTTAAAAGTTTGACACGTTTCAAGCAAAGATTAGTACTCTAGAAAGATCTGGTTACTGGTTTACTACGAGCGCCATCTCTGTGTTAGTCTCGGGAGTTATTGATTGATGTGTTAGAATCATATGACGGGAACTTATTAGGACATTTATCAGCAGTTTATTTTAAATCATCCAGAAAGTTCTGGATTTTAATGCATGTATTTTCCCGAAAATAGAAATTTTTTAAGGGGTGATATACCACTTAAATTAAATATTAGTTTTATTTGAACTAAGCAAAATTATATTCAAGTTCCTTATTTTTAATTACGTTTAAATCCATAAGTAAAAATACATAAGAAATCAGTTTCAATAATAATAAATTTACTGAATTTTCTGTAAAAGAAGATTTATAGAGTAACACGTTACACAAAATCATAATTAATCCAGACGCAATTACAGACTATCGTCAAATGTAGAAATTCTATTGAAAAAACAATTAAATCCTCCTAGATTAATTAAAATGACTTGAGAAAGAAAATAATGAGTTTTATTATTATGCACTGTCAGTAAAGGCTGGATACATATTCCATTTCAATATTATTTTAATTGCTTCAAACAAGTTATTGCTGTAGAAGCCTAAATATAATTAATGTACTCTTTATGGAAAGTAAAGATAACGCCATTTCAAATTTACAATTTTAGATTCCCATTTTATGTCTAATTTAGTTTTTAATTGCTATGAAAATGATTATTTCTTCAACTCTTTCCATTACAATTGCCTTTAATTCTTTTAAGATAGATAAATATCTTTCGACAAGGGAAAAACAAGCTTATTTTATGTTAAAATTAAATAATCCTTGCTTTTTAAAATTAGAAACTATGAAAATCAAATTCAAATTTTCAAGTTCTTGCATGTTTATATATTTGTTTACGCACGCAAAGAAAATCAGGTTAATTAACCTAGATACTTATGTAAGAAGAATTATTAATCTATAACTCTAATTACATTCCTTAGGCTTGTTTTTGCCTTTAGATTCATCTTAAGTAATACCCACCGCATTTATAACTTTGATTTTTACACAATTTTTAAATACATAACATACTAATGACACAACAGAGCTTTAATTTTAAAAACTAAATGTTTTATTAACTTATTTTAACAACTAATTTCAATAAATTTCTAATATTTAAGTCATTTTTTATTAGCCACCCAAGGAGCTATTGTTTTCATTGGATCAATTTTGGCGTACCATATCACTTTAAATTTTTTTTATCGTCTGTTTCTATTTTAATTACATGTAGCTGATCTAATATTCAATGTAATAATTTATCGTTTACTTTAATTTTAATTACATGTAGCTGATATAATATTCAATGTAATAATATTTATCGTTTGCTTTAATATTAATTACATGTAGCTGGTGTAATATTCAATTTAATAATTTATCGTTTCCTTTAAATTTAATATCGGAAAAGTTTACTATTGTCCATTTCTCGATTTTTCTTCGTTTACTCTAATTTATTTATATTTAAATGAGTAATTTAATAATAATTATACAAAAAATGCACCTAGAGTGGCTAAGTATGTTCTTTATAAACCTTGTATAGAATATTCGATTGATCCTTATAAATTTATTTTAATTTTAAAAAGTTTGTAAAATTTCCCATATTTTTATACAAATATTGTGCGAATGCCCATCATTATTTGGCACTTGTTCCACGTCTGATTCTAATATATTAATCAAAAGCTATTAAACTCTAATTGAAGACACGCAACAACGTAATACTTTCTTAATTCTGTATCACTGTAGAATATATAAAGTCGTTTACTCTTGAACCTTAACCTATCTCACAATTTTAAGTTATGATTCAGATAAAAAATCTATCTCACCTGTCCATTCGTTCTAAATTTCACAAGTCTCTTATTCAGTAACAACGCATCTTTATAATTTTAGTGGAAGTCTCTTTAATCCACAAAACTAACAGATGGATTTCAATCTAAAAATTCTTTGATAGCAAGTCATTATCGACTATACCTCCACATTTTCCATTAATTATATATCATTTATACATCATTAAATAAAAATCATTCCACTTATTTCGTTACCTTCATCTTATTCGGCTATTAACGTTTCATTTTGATTGAGAAGAAACTGTAACTTTATGCAATTCAAATTGATACAAAGTCCCCGAGGTTAGTGATGAGAAAATCACGGATAGTCTATAACGTCACAAACTTAAAATTTCTGGGTGTTAATTAGAAAAGAAATGACTTTCAATGTAAATGACTAGTTTGGTTTTCTTAACGTCGCACTAGGAGCAACATGAGGACTATTAGCTACGGACCTCGTATTTTTGTACCTGGGCCAAGTGACGAGGACAACACATGAGCTGCGATCCCCTACCTCTCCTAGCTTAACCCACCAATCCAATTGGAGCGTTTGGGTCCGATAGATTCAACGTGCATCAGCCCCGTCTACACAAAGAGTCATTTGTGGTATCAAGGCTCGAACCCGCTACTCGATGAAAATCGCCTGTCTCGAGCCTGAGGCCATGGCCATTAGGTTATCGTGGACACTCAGTGTAAAGGAAACAACGACATTTGATAACGGGTAAACTATTAGCCAAATTATTAAAGTGTGGTTTTGAGGGAAATGTTCTAGAAAACCACATTTTGAGAAATGGTGAAGGTGAAGTTTTATGGCGCAAGAGCCAGATATGGTCATGCTGCGTTAAAGAAGGTGTTACCGTGATCTAGATGTTTGAATGAGTAATTGATAATTCTAACGGTGAATTCAAAGGATGAGTGAGTCAAGTTAATGAGTGAATGGTTTGTGACGGCGCAAAAGCCAGATTTGGCTATACTGCGCCAAACTAACTCAGCAAGCGAGAGCAAAACCAGTAATGTGCAAAACTGTGATCCAGGCGTGTGAAAATAGAAAAGGGTAAAACTTTGGTTGACAAAGAGGGTTGAAAATAAAGAAGAATCGCTAGGGTATCCCGGGGGAGCGTCAGCTGTGTTTATTGAAGAGAGAAAACCCCATGGGAAAGAAAAAGATAATTAGAATGCTTCGGGACCATAATATCCGTTCCTACTTAAAAAAGTCCTTAATGTCCACATTTTGAGTAAAAACGTCAAAACAGAGATTAATCTCTAGTTCATCGTACGTTCGTTTTGAAATTCAAATATCGAAAAACATTTTAAAAAACTCTCATATTACCTCTACGAAATACATGAAGCGACCTGTATTTTACAACAGCAAAGTCTAACTTAAGTATCCTCGCAGCAAAATTTAGCTATTGTAGAAGAATTCGAATTGCTCTTTTTTTTTTTTTTTTTAAAAAAAAAGAACTGAAGTGAAAAACTGAATTTCTAGATTTTAAGCCACAAAACGAATTACTTCACCTAATAGACAAAGGGAAGACGAAGGAACAAAGGAAGCTACGTAATCGGCATTTTACTTTTCATTTTAACTGGAACCTCATTACGTAATCTTTAAAATCTCATCATCATTAAAGATGATGAGGATGATAAAAATCTCTAATAAATCAGGTCCAATAGCAGGTGGCTGAGAACAAAGCGAAAAAAATGCGTATTTTAACTACATATAAAAATAATTACTTTGATACATACGAAGCAATAAATTACATTTGTTAGGGCCATAATCATTACACTTCTTTTTCTAACCCTTAAAACCATAAGCATAATGGAAACGTTGTAGCTTTTCAAGAAAAACTTAATAAACCAGTTAAGAGTCTCTTAAAAATTTATTATCCGAAACGGCTAAGGCTTACAAACAGTGTAATGAACTATAATTTTGCATCAATTATAAATTTTTTTTGTACAGAAATTTTGCTATATTTCACAAGGCGATTCTTCTAGAATTATTTCTTTACATTCTGTTTCCTATAAATTCAAGTCTGACTCAAATTGATGTTAGTATTATCGATGGAGCTAACTCAGTAAAACAAAGTTCTGTGGGAATGAAACATTCTTTAACATATATTACTTCAGATAAAAGCAGTTAATTCAGAAAAAAAAATAATTCCCATAATTTATTGCAGGTGTTAAGCGTTGTTAATTATTTTCCATATCATATTTTATTTAGTACATATCAGAAAGAAGTGAAAACTATTCTAATTTTTTCTTGTTGCTCAGAATTAAGTCAAATTGATCTTGTTTAGTGTGGTTTTTTCTTAATTAAAAGGTAAATCATTCGGATCTTTAGAAGCATTGCCATACTTTCATGACTTATTCTCAAATTTATGTTTTATTTCTTAAATTTATTGTCCAAAGTAATACAGTTTTTACATACCTTGGCTTTCTCAAATTATGAAAGAGACTTAATTCTAACCCTTAAGAAATATTTTTTCTTTAAGAAAAATTATGAATACACTAATTGGAAAGAAGAAAAGCTTGAATTTGTTTTTGTTGACTTTCTTTTCATTTACTTCACTTTCTCTATAAATAAAATGAATGTTCACTGAATAATCTAAAGGATATACTTGTGTAAAAATTCAACATAATTTTAATTTTTTTCTATGATTTAGTCACGTTTTTTTCTTCTATAGGATTTGCTTTTTTTTTTACCTTAAAAGGAAATGTTTCGTAAGATTAGAAATACTGACTATCATTCCATCACATTTGCAATTAATTGATTACTTGATGTATTATTTTTTATATTTCTTTGAGTTCAAAAGTTTAGCAATATGTAATTCACACCAATTATCGCAGCAAGCGGCGTTCTTCATCGACCCGTGAGCCGAGTGATTCACTGCTCAGAGTTGTCATAGTCATTTTGTTCGAGTTCGAATCGGTGGGGATAGGGACAGAGAATATAGGGGCGCGGTGAACTCTAGAATGCAGCTCTCGCATCTAGCCCGAACCCCCGAAGGAGCTCGGACCCCCATAGACCTCTAAGGTCCGGGAAGCAGGTACGCCCTCTTCAAGACTCGGCGACAACCATCTCCACTCACAGAGACTCGGGAAAATATAATTCCAAAAAGTTCTCGAGAGCCACCCGAACGAGAAAGAGGCTACGATCGGCAACGACACTCCACCAACATCAGAGGCGTCGACAATATATATATATATATATATATTCTGAATTCACTTTTGTATGCCTGAATTTTGAAAATATTTAATTTTGTTTCTGAAAGAGTAAGCATAGTATACTTCCAATATTTAGAGAAAGAAAATCTCAAGTTTTTGCTTTGTTACTTTCCGTATTAAAACGTTTTTATGTATTTCACTTGGTGTGTGTGTGTCATCAAATTTTCGATCGTTAATTTAACCAACTTCCCATCAAGATAGAGCTCTGAAACCTTGGGAATCGTTCTTACTCGCCTTACAATGCAATATTTAGACATTTGCAACAAGTTTTAACAAATATTTTCTTTAATAATGCAGTTTAGCCCAACCACTTGACACGCTTTGAAAAATGGGCACCAAACTTGACGAATTTTTTTTGGCTGAAAGTTAAATCCGTAAAACGGACCAGAGTAGCCACATTTGGCAAATTACCGCCAAATAATTCTTGTTGCCAAGGGTGGTTGGGTTAAACTACATTCCACCAATTTAATTTACCGGATGAATTAATTAATTTTAGTTAGTTTTAACGTTTTTATGTATTTCACTTGGTGTGTATCTGTCTGTGTCTGTGTATCAGTGTGTCACCAAATTTTCTATCATTAATTTAACACACTTCCCATCAAGCTAGAGCTTTGAAATTTTGGAAAAAGTTCTTACTTGCCTAACAATGCAATATTTAGATATTTGCGACCAGTTTTAACTAATATTTCAATAATTTTCTTCAATAAACATTGCTACCATACAAAAACGTTGCATTTAAAAACGTCAGTTCTTATCTCGAATTATTTTTGTTTGTTTATTCATTTTTTTTTGTCTTGTAACTGAGTTGCGTGTATGTTTTACGAAAAAAGTGAGTAAATTCTTAAAATAATTTCTAAATTTTTTTACTCATTTAAAATTTTCTTATTTTATATTATTTTTAACTGAAAAGTAATTTTTCATATCCTGAGAAATGGACATGGTTGCACGCACTCCGGCCGGAGGTTTTTGTGGAGTCAAGGACTCCAGCCCCGACACCACTAAAGGCCTATTGTGTAGAAGGGACTCCTGCACGTTTAAACTATCAAACTCAAAACTATCCTAATGGCGGGGTGCGGAAGTTGGCAGAGGTATTCCTAGCTCGGATGACGTCCTCGTCATTTGACCGAAATTCAAACTTGTGAGATCTGTCTTCAATTGTCCTTGTGTTGCATTGAAGATTGTGTGACAACAATAAAATTCTCAATCGCAAATGATTAGAAATGTCAGTTGTCTTCCCATTACATCTGCAATGATTGATTACTTTATACCTTATTCCATAAATTTATTAGAGCCTTAAATAACATAAATTTATTTCTAATATCACCTTGGTTCGTTCAGTTTAATGAAAATGTCAGAATAGAAATAGAATTTTTTTCTTAGGTAGTAATTATGAGTATACGATATGAGAAGAATGAGCCGCATGGTAATTTGTTTGTGCCTTCCTTTTATTCAATGGTTTTTCCTCTTTCTTTGTAATTAAAGTATATGAGGTCACTGAATATTGTTACTGATAACATTTTCCTGGAAATGTCAATCCAAAGTTAATCTTAAAAATAACAATGTAGAATTTCTGTAAGAATGTATAATTATAATGTTTCTAAAGGGAACGAATATATATCAATCATATATTTATTTCATGGTATTTATAAATTCGCCGAATTACAGCTATATGAAGACAATTATTTAGAAGGGTTTTTTTTTGTTTATTTCTATTTCTCTCTCTCTCTCTCTTTCTACTTCTGTTTCGTATTTTGTAAGATGATTTGTCATACAAATTTTGCTTTTTAAATTTATTTCTCAGTTATAGAGAGATTCATTAAAATATTCTAGGAATAAAAGATACTTTGTCTAGAATTATATATAATTTTCTTTAATCTTTATATTCGTCATTAAAGGAATCCTAATGTTATAAATCTATGTTAACGACAGTTAAAAGCATGATTTTTAGTTAGATGACTAAATACTAATGCGCACACACACACACACATATATATATATATAAATCCTTTTAGAACCGAAATCCATTATAATATAGAAATTGTATTAAATCGAATAAGCAAATTCCCTGAAAAAGAATTATAAATAAAAACAAATTAGATTCAAAATAATTCAAAAATCAGAGAATGGAAAAATATATAATCGTTTCGTTTTGTTTAGTTTTTATTAACGTCGCACTAGAAGCAACACGAGGGATATAATTTTGAACCACAGTCAAGTGACAAGGACGACACCTGAACTGGCACCCCCTCTCCTAATTTCCACACCACACCAACGGGAGGACTTTGGAACTCGACAGATTTAACGTGCATCAGCCCCAGCTACACGGTTGGTCTTTGGCAGCCAAGGCGAAAATTATATAAACATTTGATAAAACAAAATGTTTTTGAAAAGTAGAGAAATGGAAAACGAAATATTTATATTGATGTAAGAGGCTGAAGTCTGTTAAGAGAACACACACACACACATATGATTACTCTCTCTCTCTCTCTCTGTATATATATATATATATATATATATATATATATATATATAGGGCTTTACATATAGAAGGCTTTTCTGCGAATCATATTGGCCGTCGACCATCATGGATATAGCATGCCTCTTTTTTCCCCTTATATATCCACTTGACGCGAATAATCACTATACAATAAGCATGTTTTCATTTAAATGTTTTACGTTGGGAAACTGATCACAACACCTCATCAGGTGTCTCATTAACCAATTGTGACTAGAAAGTGTATTAGAATCGCTTAATATTTCGGATACTTCGAAAGTTTTTAAATAAGTAAAAACATAAAATTTTTGAATTTGTATCGTTATAGCCTTCGCTGAATGCTGCGCTAACTCTGTCTTCACATTTGTATTTATCTTCTTTAAGTAGGTGTGACTCTACGTACCAACCTTTATCTCAAATAAAAAGAAATGCTATGTTTATAAAATATTCTATTTTCTTTTATAAATCTTATAACTCTTTTTGTGTGTACTATGTTCTTTGACTGGGGAATTTACACTCATACCTTTTTTTTTTTTATAAAGAGTTACAGACGCGGAGTCTTGAAAATTAATACTAGCATGAGCTACAGCATTCTTTTAAATCATTGACATTATTAAATAGTGTTTTAATTTAAACTATTTTTTAGTTAT